GAGAGAGACAGAGAGATAGAAAGCGAGAAATCATCTCCCAGGGGGGATGGCCACGCCACAATCCCTTCTCCTCCATTCTCCTCTCGGATCTTGGACACGCACGCACACGCACCCGGCGCGAGTTTAAGCCACCGGGTCTGGGACGCGAACCGCGGTCGACTACGCGGGAGTCCAGCGACATAGCCATGACGCTAACTGCTGGTTCCCTACGTGGTAACATTTTTTAGAAAAATAATTTTATTCAAATAAATAACTTATTCATTCCTTCATGTTAATTTGACCAGAGAGGGACAGAAATAGAAATAGAGAAAGAAGGAGAGAGAGAGGAAAAGTGAAAAAGCAAGCTACCAGGTCCGGGCCTCGAACCACAGTCGCCCAACCACCCCGCCCCCTGCTGGCCCAGCGCTTCCTGTTCTTTCCCACTCTGTCTCGGCGCGCAGCCATCCTTAGCGGGAACAGCCCTCTGAGACCCACGCCCGCCGGCCCAGCCTGTCCCTGCCCTGCCGAGAGCCGGGCTGTGCGGGCCGCCCTGCGGCGGGGCGCGAACCGGGTACCTCGAGGATGTCGGTGTTGGTGCGGCTCTCGTGGGGCTCGCTGTACTCCGTGTACTTGAGCAGCACGCGGTCCATGTCGGTGCTGGCGTACTGGAAGAGGCGGTTGGCGGTGTTGAAGATGATGAGCGCGATCTCGCAGTCGCACAACACGCTCAGCTCGTATGCCTTCTTCATCAGCCCGAACTTCCGCTTGGTGAACGTCACCTGGACCCGGGACCCCCAGGGGTCGGGGCAGAGAGGCCGGAAGACACAAAGATTGAGGGTGGCAGTGAAGGAGGTGGAGGGACCTGATTGTTCCTAGAACATGTCCCTGTGACCCTCTACGTGGCTGACCTGGTCTATCTCAATAACTCAATCAGGCAAACTCCTAGGGAGGCGTCAAAACCCCACCCAAATGCTCCTTCTTTGGGGGAAGTTTTTCGTGGCCTGCTAGACAGAGGACACAGTTACTCTCCACAATCCTGTGCCTCCCTTTGGTCCAGTCCTCTGAGCTGGGCGTGTCTGTGTTGATGTTTTTTCTCCTCTATAAGTGGGCTCCAGTTATCAAAAAGAATCAATGGGGACCAGCAGTTGGCATAATGGCTATGTCACTGAACTCCC